TATCATGTGGAGACAACGCATGGCGGGCCCGTTGCCCGTTGGGGGCCCGTTGGGCCCGTTGCCCGTTGAGGGCCCGTTGGGGGCCCGTTGGGGGCCCGTTGGGCCCGTTGGGCCCGTTGCCCGTCGGGCCCGTTCGGCCCGTCGGGCCCGTCAGGGGTTTGGCCCCAGTGGGGGTGCTTCCCTCCTCTTGGGCAGGTGGCTACCCCCTGCCGCTGTGCCGCGCCATCATGCGAGGCGTGCGCACCTTCTCGGACAAGCAGGCCAATGACGCCCGCACAGAGGTCTATATGTTGGATGACCAGGTGCCAGACAATCCAAGAAGGAGAGGAAGGCATCGATGAGGAAGAACAACGTATTCAATCCTACAAGGACGAAAGCGAGGATGATCTTGAAGAGGAGGAGAGGCGACCCATCTCTCAAGAGGTGAAGAGGGCTGTTGAATTTGCCCACCGGCAGTTGGGCCATCCCAGCAGGGATACACTTGTTCGCATGATGCGAATTTCAGGAGCTAATGATGATGCAATCCGGCACGCTCGCCGATGGCATTGTGATGTCTGCAGGATGCAGCAGCCACCAAAGCATCCACTCGCCACAACTGCTACTTCAAGACCATTTGCTTTCAACCGAGTTTTGCACATTGACATCAAGTATCTCTTCGACACCCAGGGTCGGAAGTATCCTTGTTTGAGTATTGTTGACCTTGGAACTGTGTATCATGCAGGCTGCATGCTGAAGACCAGAAGGTCAGACTACGTCGCCCGCAAATTCTTGGTTCACTGGGTACAACTGTTTGGAGCCCCAGGGCATATTTATCATGACCAAGGCGGCGAGTTCGAACTGTCTTTTACACAGCTTTTGGAGCAAATGGCTGCGCCCAGCACAGTCACCGGATCGCATGCCGGTTGGCAGTTGGCCGTCGGAGAACGGCATGGAGGAATCTTGGGCAATCACAACCGAGCACCTCACGGAAGGTTTCCATGGCATGAAGTTGGCATTGAGCTCAGCGCTGGCGGCCAAGAACATGACCATTACCCGTGATGGCTTCAGCCCCAACCAGAGGTTGTTTGGAACGGAGGTCCGCTATCCCAGTCTTTTGGAGGACGATGTCAAGCCTAGTTTTGCAGAGAGCTTGGACACCGAGACTGAGTTTGCAAGATCCCACCGTATGAGAACCACTGCCAGGTTAGCACTGATCCAGATGGATGTCCAGGAAAAGATGAAACGGGCCATTTTGAGGAAGCCCGGTGTGGACACAGAAGGTCCATATGTTCCTGGATGCCAGATTTACTTTTGGGTGCCTAAGAAAGCTTCAAAAAGATACAGTCGAGGAGGTATCTGGCGCGGACCTGCAACAGTTTTGGTTCGTGAAGGACACGAACGCTATTTTGTTAGCTGGAGAGGACGCGCCTTGCTCCTTGCAACGCCAAACATGCGTTTGGCTACAAAGGAAGAACTGGCCATGAATGAGCCCGCAAAAGAAGATGCAGAAACCATTGGCCAGATGCTTCGCGATCCAGAGCGTGATAACGCCTATCACGACCAAACCCATGTCAAAGGAGCTCCCAAGCGGAAGCACATCAGAGATGACCCTGAGCGCAAACGTGCCCGATTGATGATGCGAGGCACCAAGTCAATCCGGGAGTTGCTCAAGAGCCGGTTTGGCTTCAAAGAACAGCTCAGGAAGCGCAAGGTGCAGCTCCAGCCGCCAGAGAAAGGAGATCCGGTAGCACCGAGGAAGAAAGTTAAGAAGGCTCTACCTCCACCGCCTGCGGCGGAGTCTCAAGACTCAATGGAGGAGTATACACCTTCTCAAGCACCAGAGCCAGAGGCTCCACGGGAAGGCCAGCGGCCTATGCTTCCTGCTCCAAGTTCAGCTCCAGCTGAGCCACCTACAGAAGCCCCGCGGGCTGAAGATGTTCCAGTGCCACCAATGGATGAGAATGAGTGGTTGGAAGAGTACAGACATCTTCCTCAGGAAGAACGCCGTCGCATTCTTCAAGATGATCAAAAGAAAAGGTGGCATTACTGCAGAGGATGCTGACCGAGCAGTGAAGCGCCTCAGGAGCAACTTCTGCGCAGCGACTGCAGCCAGCACTGTGTATGGAACCCTACAGAATGAGTGGGTTTCTCGTTATGAAGTAGAACTGCTAAGACAGCTGACAGGGTTGCCTGTTACAGCAGCTCGCATTCACAGAGCACCACGGAAAAGGCTGCAGCGACCCCCGAAGATGGTGTCGCGCTCCCGCTTGAGTATCCTCATTGGAAAGGATCCAGCAAGCACTTTCATTGTCAACGAGAAAGACGCAGAGGTTGCAGCCCATCCCCGTCGGCGAGCCAGCTTCGAGTGGCGGGGTCTTACAACGTTTTACCGTACTGAAGATCCAAGCAAGCCTACAGAGGTATTTGTCGAACTGCCAGATGGCATTCATGGGGTGACGCTCACCACCAGTGAGGCAGCAGAGTTCCAGCAAATGTGGTTGGAGGAAATGCACGATACCCTCCTTGCTGAAGTGATGATTCTTAGGATGAAACAGAGTGGGAAGGAGCTGGACCCTAGCTTCTTTGACACCTTCGAGCGACAAGCCTTCAACAAATCAGATATCAAAGAATGGTCCGAATGGATCAAGAATAAGGTTGTCCGGAGGGTGGAAAAGGGCGAGTATGTCCCGCCTTCGTGCATCTTTAGAGCGCCGCTGCGCATGTTACGGGTGAACGACAAAGCAGCAAGCCCACTTCTGCCTTTGGTGGCCAAGTCACGACTGATAGTACCAGGTCATTTGGACCCACACCTGGGTGAGTTTCGCACTGACTCACCTACTTGCCCACAGGCGGCAGTTCGAGCAGCAAAGGCTGTTGCTGCTGCCCGCGGATGGGGAGGAGTGACATTCGATGTCACAACTGCATTTTTGAGTGGGAAGGAAACTTCTCGTAAGCTGTACATCCGAGCACCTCGTGAGGGTTTGCCACCGGCAATGGGATGGCCACCCATCAAGTCAGGAGAGTTGCTTGCGATTCTCAAAAGTGCCTATGGTCTCACAGAATCCCCAAGGTTGTGGTACCTGGAGGCAGTGGACCAACTTAAGGGCACTCCCCTCAAAGAGCTAGCAGTTAGCCGCTCTACTTTTGTTGCCGGAGGCTCCCGGAGTGAACGGTGCTTGGAAGATAGCTGGGCAATTCTTTGCTTGCATGTTGATGATGGTTTACTGCTGGGCGATCTCAGCGACCCTCGGGTCATCGCCTTGCGCAAGCAAATTGACAACCTGTTCACCATCAAGGAATGGAAAGAAGTCACTGCAGAGAAGCCAATTCAGTTCCTGGGTGTTGAAATCACCAGGGATTCTTTTGGATTTCATGACGACATGAGCAGGTACATCAAAGAAATCAAAGTCGAAAAGCTGCAAGGGGAAGGTCTTTTGGGACCTCGTGAAGTCACACTATACCGCCAGTTGGTTATGCGTCTTCGTTGGCCGGCGCAGCAAACAATGCCACACATGTTGTACGAAGTCTCCAATCTGGCGCAGAGGGTGACAAAGGCAACCCATGCAGACTACAAGGAGGCAGTGAAACTGCATCAGAAGTTTGTGGAAGAAGCCAATGCTGGACGAGCCAGGTTGACCTATCCACCGCTGGACAAGAACAACAAGTGGTTCTATGTCAGCTACTTCGATGCGTCCCTCGGAAAAGAGTCCGATGGAAAGTCACAGTTGGGCGCCGTACACTTTCTCACCACTGCAGCAACTCGTACAGGACCGGCCGCCGCCGCGCCAGTTGAATTCAGTACAAACAAGAGTTCTCGAGTGCTGCGCAGCTCGATGTCTGCCGAAGCATGCTCAATGAGCATTTGCGTGGACCGCCATTTGTATGGTCGACTCGTTATCTACATGATGCTCTACGGGTATAAGACTCTGGATGTGAATTGGCGAACCACAATGGGAATTTCTGGAGGCGTTGTCACTGACGCCAAGAGCCTGTATGACCACATGGGTACAACAGGACAGATCCCAACAGAGCGGCAGACCGTGCTCGACTTGATGGTGGCTCGTGACCACCTCGAGTCAGGTGCCTACGAACTTTTCTGGGTTCCAACTCCCCGCCAACATGCAGATGCGTTGAGCAAGAAGATGAAGAACATCCTATGGGAGACCTTCTGCAAGCTCCCCAGGATTTCTCTCAAGGAGACCGAGGACGAGCGGAAGCTAGAGGAGCACAGGAAAGGTTTGAGGAAGGCACAGCGACAGCGTCGCAAGGACCGCATGAAGGGCCGCGAACCTTCTCAGGCAGCGCCTGCTCATGTACAGTATGTACAGTTGCAATCATGTCAACACACTCTTTTGGCTATGTGAAGATCATAGCTAGGTACAGATAGGTAGCTTGACATGATTTGTCTTTTGCATGTATCCGCACCGCAGCTTGTCACAAGCGATTTGCTTCGGAAACACCGCGTGTTTTCTTTGCGCTTTTGCCCCGCGTTTCGTTCTACCTTACGCTACCCTGTGCACTCCGCACCATCATCATGCACTGTTACAGGTAATAGGATAGACCCAAGCTAGAATTGTTTGGGAGCATGCACTGCTAATAGCCAGAATCCGTGCTCGGGTCGGGTAGCAGCAGGCATGTTGAGGGTAATCTGCACACCCATGATCAACATTGATCAACTATGATTAAACATGTTTATGCATTTGCGGGTTCGGCCTAGGTGCTGCCAACATTTGCTAACCATTGTTCTTGCTGCCGTGTGGCTCCCCTCGCGCAAAAGCATAACCATGACACGTGTCCAGATCTTTCTTGTTTTTTCATGTCCCTGCCCTTATTAGCCAGTGTTGTTCTCTTAATTTCTTAGCAGCTTTAACAACGAACCGTTTTCTTTTAAAAAGAATAAAAAAAACGTTTTGTTGTGTTTCCGAAACATTCCAACGGAATTTCAACGGAACAAACGTGCTCTTTCAACTGTTCCGAAACACTTCCACGGCACGTTTTTTTCCCTGGTTCCTGGAGCCTAGGCGGCGTGCCGATCTTGGCTGAGAACTATGATCACAGGCGGACCTGGCCAAACCTCAATGACGGAGCCTCATGCTGTCCGAAGTAATGCCAGGAAAAAGTGTTCTGCAAGAAATCCGGCCAGGTTTTTTTGGGGGGGGCTTGCTAGGCCCTGCTAGGCTGGACAAATCCTACACCATTGGACTGTCGTGGATATATTTTGGTGCGGGATGCGTGTGGGATGCCTAGTACGAGCAGGTCCCCGCCCCACGAAGGTTTGCTGCTTGATGGCAGCCAGGTGGCTCATACCGTCCTACATCCTGACCATGATTGCGGAAGCCTCCAACATGATTGCAATGGTGCCTCGAAACAACCAGGTTCTTCTACCGCTTTCAGCGGTAGAAATCGTTCCCACCTCGGCACGGAAAAGTTGCGCTTCTGGCACGGCAAGAGTATATGGTTTTGTAGGCTGCAGGTCCTGACAATGTCCTGGCAGTGCATTCTAATTATATATATAGGTAACAAGGCGTGTGATTCCCATGAAACGCGGCACAACATGAGGTGCACAAGTGCTTTGAAGTTTTTGAATGCTCACTTTCCTCCATACGGCGCATGAAAAAGAAGAACAACAGCTTCAATCAAGAAAAGAACGATTTCAAACTTCTACACCTCACCGCACCAAATGGTGTGAGGGATTGCTGGCGACCATGGGGTCGAACCCTGGTCTTAATGGCCGTGCGACATTCCTCACCCAGTCTTCTAGATAGCTTCTGTAGGTTTTGACGCTTCAAGTGCTTGTCACGGCACTTATACATGTGCAATTTACATGCAATTTACCACAAGCTGTATTTCTTGGGAGGTTTTCGTATGTAGGTTAGATGGCCACCCTTTACACTTGGCCTTTTGCGGTTGTGACTGTGACGTGCAGCCTCGCAGAGCTGTGCGGTGAGGTCTTTCCATTGAAGTGGTATTTGCTGATCAATGCGCTCGCAGCTGGTCGCAAGAGATCGCAAGCAGGTCTCACCACAGGTGTTTAGGGACAACTGGATGGCGCTGTTTCGGGGCACGACAACCATCTACACTTGCCACTGGTATTCCTTTTGCACCTTAACACATTATGCAAAACAACTGGCACTATTACGTTCAACATTTTACAACCATGTACAACTTGTTGTTCTATCCGGCTGTCCTTCAGGGCACCTCCCAAAAGCCAATGGCCAGATTCATGCTTTGGTGAGTTGACATCCTCACTTGGCAGAGCACAATTGCTCCCAAAAAGCATCCCGTGCTTTCGTCAAATAGCTCTAGCAGGCACGGTGCAGAAAGATGAACCTGAGCTTGTGTAGTCTTGAGGGCTACTTGGTCTGTAAGTAAGGGTGAATCTGAATGATATATATTTGGACCAAGACCAGTGGGTTTCCAAGCGTTTTTCGGTTTCAACATGTGAAGTGGACCAAGTCTAAGGTCTTCAGTGGATTTTTTCTTGCTTGGCTTTTGGACTCAATGTTCCATATCTTCCCGGATACGGCCCGGTTTGACGTGGAAACCCAGGTGGTCAGAGACGTTTCACACTGCACTTGGCAACTTGTTTTTTGAGGGCAGACATTTATGCCACAGAGAATCTATATAATTAGGCCTCCCCTCTCCCGCCCACACCAGGACGTTTCGTCGAACAATCACATGCCGAAGGCCGACCTGCGTCCCGACCCGACAGCCGAGGGGATCCCTTTGGCCAGCCTTTCAAACATCATCCGTGACCAAGCTGCAGACCAGTTGGTTTCATTCAACTCGACCAGGGTAGGTTCGGTCCCGGTCGCTCTTCGAAGCTCGGCCAGATGCGGAAGGAACTGGATCCGGACGTGGGCATAACAGGACCCAGAACTGGTCCCAAGATGTCCCAAGTCTCTTTCTTATCATTCACGTTGCTCGAAATCCCTGTTCGGCTTGGCTCCCACGATGCGTATAGTACAAGTCTCTCAGCACATCGATCTACTCGTCTCTTCCCAAGCTGAGAAGAATCGCTGGGCGCCACTGAGATCGGCACTGCTGATCTTCATAAGGAAAGGCCGTCTATGCAGAGGTCGACCGGCGTTGGGCGAGCCATCCTTCAGCTTCTGGGATGGCAAGCAGGTTTTCCCAGAGGTGTGCAAACACAGAGTGGTCCCAACACAGAGCATGTGGACACCCCTAGATTTTTTGTTTGCCCGTACTTCATTAAGTAGGGACCGACCGTAAGGCACTGAGTAAGCTCCTAGCTACTACTTGAGCCATAACCTAGCTACTCGCGCCTGCTCGTTGCAACACGTATTACGTATGTCGATGATTACCTGGTGTGGCCTTGGCGGCTAGGGTCTTTCAACTTGTGACACTGAACTTTGCCCGAAACCAGTGGCTTCCAGATCGGTTGAGCCATGGGATGCTTCGCAGATGGCTCGCCGATGGCGAGCTTCGGATCGGTCCGTGGTTTATCACTTTTACCTCACATGGAATCTGTGAGGTGGAGCTGATTCACTTGAATCTGTGCAAGCGAAATCGTGCGACGATTCTGAACCTGCTCACCAGCATCCTTTGTGTTTGGTATTCGCGCCTTGGATCGCAGGAAGTGCCTTGGACTCAGCCAGGGAGGCCAGGTATTGGTCGCCTCAAACTTGGCAACTTCTTTTAGGGCTGCCGGGGCTTTGATTTGCACACAGATGGGGGCTGCGTTGGATTTGGTGATGTGGATTCTTTCGGCACATGTCATGGTTTCGAACATAAGAGGATAAAGAAAAGGTCTCAAGGTCTAAAAGAGGAAGACAACACACAGGACATCTGCCGACAACTGGGAGAGCCCAAGATCTCCCAAACCACCCGGACGAGAGAACTCAACAAACCTGGCTGTTCGGTGCGTTCGCTCAAACCTGTTGCCCCTGGCAGAACGTGGCACCGACCGCCTACCGGTGCCCGGTGCCCCGTATCCTGGTGACCCACAGCCCTTGTTCACTGGTGCATGTCGTTTTTCAGGCTCCACTTGGTGAACTCCAGCATTCATCCGAGTCTCCAAGGCAATGGGGAGGGGCAGGTGTTCGTGGGCGGATCCGGCTGGGAGTTGCTGCAGCAAAAAAGAACGAATAGGCTGTTGCAGCTTTGGTGGCATTTTGTAGCATTGTGGGGGAATGTGCTGAAAAAGGGGGCTGAACAATGCTGAACATAGCGAAACACACAGCTGAAGAGATATGGTCAATCCATGGTTCCCCATGGTTTGGTTGCTGACAAAGTAATCGCCTTACTCGAACCTCAGGCATCTTCGCAGTTTATGTCATGCTGCTTCTCTTCGACTTCGCTGCGGTGCCTCGGCTGAAGATTCGGCTAAAGAGGTTGGACTCGGTGGTGGTTGAGACACGCAATGCACTAAAGAAATAAATCCGGAAAGTCTATTGGCTTCGATTTGACACATGTCCTGTCAGAACTTCCAGAAGAGCAAGATTGCCTCAGAGCTGCTGCAGAATCAGGCTTTGGGAGGGAAAGTGATCGGATAGTGGGCCAATGGCGGAAGCAGCGTGGCGCAGCTACATGTATAAGGCAATTTAGTGGTTTTTACGTGTGAGAGGCAGCTATGGCAGGATCAAGTTCAGTTAGTTGCAGCTGTCCGACTGGTTGGAAGCACTGAAAGATACTGAAAGCACAGAAGGCACAAGTCGTGTAAGGCACAGATGGCGCAAACTCATGGAGCACATTAGTTGGGAATCCTAGATAAACTAACGACTTCTTGTTTGATACCACCCACACATCCACCTGTGCTGCCCACTGTTCAACGCACCAGAACAGCTACGACTACGAGCTGACAGAGATGGATCATGAGCCATACCAACCGCAGAGGCTCGGTAATTTGGGTTGTGTGGAGGACTATTCATTGTGTAACGGGATAACCTATGGTGGAGTCCAAGGCACATTAGCATGCGAATCCTTTCAGCATGGATTCCACTACACAGTCCATTAGGATACCACTACACAATCGTCGCTGGCATGCGTGCAATCATTGCACCCAACTGGGCTGTCCTGCTTATCCTGATTGACAGGGATGGGATTCTCTCGGAGTTGACGGCCCCTTTTTGTTCGTCGGGCCAAAGGGTGGATGGAAAGGTTCTTTTGGATTCATCGCATCAGCTGTGGATGGAGGAACTGTTGAACCAGACGCTATCGGTGAGGGCAGGGGAACTCACTCCTGCAGAACGTGGTTGCTTCCTAAGCGTCAGGAGACTTGGTGAGCAACATGGCCCTGGCCTAAGCTTTTCCATGAAGAGCCTTAGATGCATGGTGTGCATTCCACGCGAAACATCATGATCTCCAATGTGTGAAACCCTGAAATTGGCGGAATTCTCCACCAGAGCGGGTCCATCACCAGTCCAATAAGATCCCTTAGTTATGCAAGTCTTGTCACTTGACCCTCGCATAGGCCCGGCAAGATGTTCACACTGGGGCTGTAGAGGGGTCCACTGAAACATTCTTGGCAGCATGCCCGCGGCCACAAGAAATCGACTGCTAGGCTTAGGAGCGTAGAAACTTGGTTTCATTGTTATTTCATTGTTATTCTCATCACTATGGTGCCTGCGGTGTAAGCTTTGTTATCTTTGTTTGGCATGCGGCATGATGCCCCGCATTGAGATAGGAAAGTTCAATAAGTTGTCCAAGATGGCATATTGATGGCATCAAAACCCGATGTAGAAACCACCCCTTCACCGGAGCAGTGGAAGCTCCTGCCGTTCGTATTTGTGGCGAACGCACCTGGTTTGCCAGTGAAGCGGTTGGTGCCGTGTCACACAAGGAAGTTTGGGATGACGCTCTTCCTGGTCATGGGAGAAGCAGCTGTGGCTGGGCGTCATGAGCGGTCACCAGGCTACTGCACTGCTGCGTTGCTTCGAGCGTTGCTGCGTTGCTGGTGGATTGAAAGGCCGAGTGAGCAACCTCATGGGCACTGCATGAGCAGCGCCTCATGAGGTCTATGCCGGACTGGTGACAACCTTGTCTGGGAACACCAATCAGCTGGAGCCCTGCACTGAAAGGTGGCCTGCCGCAATGAGTGAGTTGGTGCAAATTGTTGGGATTGTTGGGGAGTGTTTGAGAATGCCGATGTCTACAACCAATGGATTGTCTTGGGTCCGAAAAGTCACCAAATTCGAGAGAATGGAGGTCAGAGCAAGCTCACATGTCAAGGTAATTGTGATAAACCACAAGCCATAAACCAAAGACCAAGGCTCATCACCATCAATACCTTCACAAAAAAGGCATGATTTGGCATTTGTTACGTTCTATTCCTGGGCCATGTGTTTCAGGGCGTTGATGACGTGGGGAGGTGGACTGTTGACGGTATTTGACGGTGCTGACCGCGCTGGCGTTAAAGCCCAGCTGATCCAGGTAGTTGAAGGCTTCCATATGTATTGCATGTACAGCACTAGACTCACTAGACATTGAGGCACCCTCATGGTGCCGAGGATAGGCACAGTTTATAATATTTCAAGTTAAAGTAATATTTTGAAGAGGCCACAGCGCCAACACTTTGGCATGACGTGCCACAACGACCCAGAGAGAGGACACTTTAATGATCCACCAAGCTATGTGAGTTGGACCTCAGCCTTACTTGTACCGGGTACCATGTGCTGTGCAAAAACTATACAGACCAGGTATCCACACTCTTTGGATTGGACTCAGAAGGTTGCTGGAACGTTCATGTTTTGATCCTACAGCCGTGCTCCAAGAAGAAAGATGGAGCTAGAAAACGGGCCTATTTTGGAAGACTATACAATTATATACCATATATAGTTTGCACACGTGCGACATGTGCAAAAGTTGCGGGAGTGTATGTGATGGACAGGTGCCATTTGGAGGAAATCATTGCCTCCAGAGGATTCTTGAATGTTTTTTGGTGTGGCTTCAAAGCAGACCCAGGAACCCATAGGAATGCAGAATCCCAAGAGGTGTTGAAACAGATTATCACCAGGAATGTGCAAGTTCAAATACCTGAACTTACAGTTAACCTAATAGCAATGGCCTCCAACCTACTAGGGATGGCCTCCAACCTGCTAGCGATGGCCTCCAAGCTTCTGTTTTTGCCTCACACGGAGTGCGACCGTTTGTTGTTTGAGGTGTTTACAGTTCAAGCTGATCAGCGATCAGTCGTCCATTCCTGGCACGGGCATGTTCCCCTTTCCAGTGCGGAATGGCCTGGTCAGGGGCTCGGTCCTTGACTTTCAGACATGTTGTGTTCTTGTTTACCTTCTTTTATTTACGTCCTTTTGTTTTTGTCATTTCCCGTAATTCCCTTGTTATCCAAGCTTTTGCTTGGTCAAGTACTCTCTTCCTACCTATAGTGGCATAGGCATAGGTCTAATCTAATCAGTTACCTGTGTTTGATAGACCTAAGGGTTCCTCCTCACAGTGTCATTATGTGTCAGTGATTCTGCCGGCCTATGTGGGAGCACCTTTGACATGGCGGTGGTTGCAAGTTGTAACTTAACTTGTCACGAAAGCTAGCTGTAGCTAGCTGGAGTCTGTCTTGCTTTAGCAAGGAGGGTGGGAGCCCTGGACCTGAGTGCTGTTACCTGATATATCAGGACTATACCCCCCCCCTCGCGGGGTTCAACTCCACCCTTCTCCTCCTCAGTACCTGCTGCTGCTGCTTGGTCGCTGCTGCTGCTGCTAGCATCTCATCTGCGCCTGGCTCTTGGCTGCTTGCTGGTTGCTGCTGCTTGCTGCTTGCATGCTTGGTGCTGCTGGATGCTCTTGGCTGCTTGCTGGTTGCTGCTGCTTGCTGCTTGCTGCTGTTGCTGTCTGGGGTTGTTGGCTGCTGTTGGTGCTCTAGAAAGCCTATTCGTTAGAACCGAGAGTAGTTGCATTCCCTCTGAGTCGTGAAACGATGCAAAAACCTTATATCCTTAAGAAGCTTGTACAGGCATGTACCCACCCCACAACCC